CCTTCATTCTTCTTCCTCCTTCAATTGAACACAACACAATTGTTATCTCCTGTAACTGTCAACTTCTGCTGTTGCCCTATTTTTTTTCCTTTACTACTAGTGATGAGATAGGGACCCACGAGGGCTCATCAGAGATAAGTATATGCCTCCTGCTTGTTGATTCTGTTCGATCCTTTCCCTTTCCTGATCTATGAAGAAGATGACCCCCCCCCCCCCCATTGTTTGTGTTACTGGACCCAAATCATTCCCTCCAAATCCTGTTCAAGATTAAAAACACCCCCCCCCCCCCACACACACACACACACATTTTGAATACTTTAACCAAAACAGTCTTTTTGGATTTAATTTATCACAAAAATAGTCACTTGTGTTAATTAATTACAAAACAACCCTTTTAAAATCAAAATTATTTCAAAACAAGTCCCTTTGAAATAATTTAACCAAAATCACTTTTAAAACTCATTTTGTTTTATACTTTTGTTAGAAAAATATGTTTTTATAGAAATTGGCCAACCAGATAACATTTTCTAAAATACATTTGATTACAAAGGTACATCGTGTCAAAAAATCTTTAGAACTTACCAACATTTTTTGTTGACATATCTTAATGCCAGTATTCTTAGATTATTAGCACGTTGGAAAGATGTGCATAGAAGACTTCCCATTATGTTAGTATACCGTTGTAAATGTTGTTCTATTAGGTGTGTATAGTTATTTAACAATAGTGTTTGTCAATCTAATTTCTATTTGGGTATTACTAAAAGATTATATTTGTATTGTTTAATGTATGTCCAATAACTATGATCACTAATTTAAGTCAAGCACCTCGGCGTTTCCGCCAGCAGTCGGGGGTGTGCCAAAGCATGATTGCCTAAACATGTCACCACAAACTGGTCGGTTATTTAAACGAGCTATGATTTCGCACCCATGTTTAAGCCTACAAGTTGTAGTAACAACCTTTTCATATTATCTATCGTGCTACAATCAAAAGAAATTTTTATTAGACCTATTTGTATGCATGTTCCAAAGGACATTACTAAATACACAATTTCGGACCAAAATTCTAGAACACAACTCTGGAGCAAAAATCTGGAACACAATTCTGGACCTAAATTAAGAAACAAAAGTCTTGAATGTTCATCGTATTGCGGAAGAGTTCTTATTATTCCAAACATGTTTTTCGGATTTCGGACTAGTCAAAATAAAGATTTTTTATAAGAGTTTTGGATGTAGCACACATATTCCTACATATAATCCCATTATTGTCTTTTAATCGAAAAAAAAAAAAACCTATATAAACGAATAAATGATACAGATTTTAACGTATAATCTAAAAGAAATGCATATAATTATAAACTTAATAGGGACTTACATATATAAAAATGTATGTCACCATCACGATTAGAAGATATTTTCAACTTTAGGGATGTCCGGAATGCTCTATAGGGTAATTTGAAATGAGATATTTCAAAATGAAATCCTAAACGGGTTCAACGATACTTATAGGGAGGGCCACATTACTGAGTCGGATGTCCGGAATGCTCTATAGGGTAATTTGAAATGAGATGTTTCAAAATGAAATCCTAAACGGGTTCAACGATACTTATAGGGAGGGCCACATTACTGAGTCGGATCAGTTACCCCTTCACCGAGTACAAAATCAGGTATGAACTGACATATTATGGACCGATTGGTCATTTTGGAAAAAAAAAGGTTATTATTAATAAAATTATATTAAAAAAAATGATTAGTTTAAAGGAATTTTGCTAATTTCTAAAGATGGGTTTGCTTAATATTTTATTTTCCCTACAAAGGTCATTCCCTAATTTCTAATGATGGGTTTGTTTAATATTTTAGTTTCCCTACAAAGGTCACCAACTAACTATGCCCATGATTTTTGTTCTTTTTCGTTAATTTTTAATACGAACTAGATAAGTGCCCCTGCTTTGCGGGGGTTGGAAGCCTTCGGTAAAAAGTGAATTTGTATTGTTGCAAGTATTATCCAATTTACAAAGCATTATTACTATTCTAACTATGTACATATAGTTCAAGACTTGAAGCTTGTTTGAGCCACAAAACCAAAGTCCAGGGTTAAAATATTCACCAAACAAAACACAACATTTCTTTGTGGTGAGAAATGTGGTTTTATTTATCAGTCAATCTTCAAATCCACACCTTAAGGTTATTTTACATAATATAATACCTCAGGTTGGAACGTAAGCATATCAGCAGGAGCCATTGCTTATGGTTGAGCAATTTTTTTCCTAAATGTATGAGTCATCTTTTTTGCCTGCAACACAAGGGTATTTTAGGCAAAACGACAAATAATCATATACAATTTTCTAGAAAATGTACAAAAAGATAGCATAATAAAATAGCTTCTCAAAAAGTAACCTTGGGTTACAAATCAATGTATTGGGACACAATAACACAAATTGCATTAAATATAGAGGAAGGCAGAAGATGATGTAATTGCTTTTCTAATTTTTTTGCTAATCCTGGTGTAATCGTGCAGTTCCTTCGGCTAAGACAATAATGTTCAACCAATTATGACAATACCGTCTGATGGACTTTTCTTTAATTATAAAGTATACGTCAGGACATCTGGTGGTTGGGTGAACAACTTATTATTTTTTGTTTTATCTCAAAAAAATTCTATAATAAAATACGACAATAGGTTGACCCAAAATAAAATCATAAGGGTAACATCAATGGAAATTGCAATGAATATGATTACACCAACAACCAAGAAGCAGGGGTATTTTGTCCGAAATACCCATAAATGAACATAAGCATCTAATACACCTTCAGTTAGACCCTCTTAGACCCTCTGATTGTGTAAATGCGGGCTATTGATCCATCAAACTATTTTTCTACTACAACATAACATTTAGAAAGTAAAACAGGGGGAAATTTTTAAAAAACCTACCAGATGTGGTATTGATGCGGGGAAAATAAGGATATATTGTCCTTTTTTAGCTCAACCTGAAAAAGAAGGAAACAAAATACTCATATAAACAACTAAAATTTAAACATGGCTATTTCCTTGTCGATTAATCCGGACAAATTGATTATATGGTTTCAGCCAAACAAATATGATTTAGTAGGCTAATATAGTAACCCTTTACATATTTTCTTTTTTTCCTCTCAAATAATGAATATTAGAAATTAAAAATTTACTCTTACTCAAACAATTTATTCTACAGAAGAAACAAAACTTATGTATACATAAATCATTACACCCAAATAGGAAAATGCACGTAGCGAATGACACACTTTTCAACATTGTTGTTTGAAATTGGAAGATTTTGTCCTCAATTTGATATCAAAAAATAATAAACTAACCTAATTTTGACTATAAGACGAAAACACCCTCATTATATATAATCCAATACCTTAGTCATTTTGACTTTAGTAGCTTTTGGCACAAATATTTTCCAAAGAGAACCCAAACTTAGTTTTCCGAAAATGCCCTTTTGCTTTTGTCCATGTCTAGTTTCTGAAAACGAATATTAGTTTCTCTTAACCTGGCACCAGAGACCTGTGAAAAGGAAATTTCTTTAATTCTTCCAATCATGGTTTGGACCACCATTTCTGATATAACATAGTATAGATTAAAAAAAGGTCATTTGTTAATTGATTTTATAGTCTGTTAAAAAAATGATGCTAATCAAGTCCATAAAAATTCAAAAAGCATCTACCTCAGGATGGCAAAACTTAGCACATTTTGATGCTAGAAATAGTGCTGTAAGCCTATAAGATCACCTACAAATGAAGTTAGAAGCATAATATTTATATTAGTTTTTACATTCTGTTGTGAACATTAACAATTTCATGTGTGTTGTGTTTTGTTAGCATAAATCTCAAGAATTTAACAGGTTTGTATTTGATTGTGATAACTAAAGATCAATAAAAAATTAAAGTAATTTTAAGTTTAGTTAACCAAAATTAAGAAAATTGTTGTGTTTTAGTTCAATGTGCCAACATAATAAACTTAGTTGTTTATATTAAGAGAAAAAAAAATTATTATATTTCACTTTGAGATCTAAGTAAAAACAATAAATAAAATGTAAATGTTCAATTTAATTACGAAAAAAACTAACGGATTTCAGGGAGATGAATTCCAAAAGCCATGACACTACAATACAAAATCCCTAAAATAAGATGAATGATTTAACCATATAATAGAAATTAATAAAAGAAACTCAATATCATTAGTATAAAAGCACTTACGTCTTGGATCTCTTGTCATGTTGAGATACCCGGTAGTGAAACACACCCACCAGCAACCACCAATCTTTCGGGTGACAACCGAGAGCTGGAAATTACAGCGGTGATCCAACTGAAAAGCAACCGCTTGTCATTTGTAGTAGTAGTTGTAGTGAAAGTGTAGCATTGCGGTCTGTTAGTTTTGCAATGGAAGCAGCTGATATCCCAACTCGGTTTGGGTTTCATAAAACTTTTTGTTGGTTTAGGCTTCACTTTGGATTTGAGTTCAAGTTTATGAAGTTGTGCATCAAATGTTGTGAAGGAAATCTGCCATACAGGATTGAAGCTTGAAAACACTCTTTTAGATGGGAGCGCTTCACCGTGGCTGAAAACTTGGGATATCCAAAACTCATATCACCAATCAATGCGTTTTCTATTTCATTTTGCGTAATGGTCTGATTTTGTTGATTTTGCAATGGTACCGGCTAATATCCCAACTCAAATCGAAACTTGTATGGCAGAACAGCAGACCAACAGGAATGGGTCTTCATTCATACACTTACTTTGTTGCTTGATGCTAGATACTCCCACTTTCTTATAAATCTGAATAAAGTTAACATGTGGATCATCATATTAAAATATAATTCTAAATAATTTAATTTATGGAATTCATAGTTGTGATGCCTCTTGAAACATAAAATAATAATAATAATAATAATAATAATAATAATAAGTAGAACCTTACCGGATACAATAGATCGATCCAATCTCATCTCTTTAAGCACTATAATCTAAGCTTTTACATAGCACATCAAGAAGAGTCTGTAGATTTTTGGATGCACCATAAGAAAAAAAAAAGCGAGTTTAACATATGGAACGACGGTCCAAGAACAGAAAAGTTAAAGGAAGAAGCTCGTAACTCTTTTACCTTGTTAAACGGAAACGAACATCATACCTTTGTTTTGTGACTTTTTTTTTACAATAGTTCATCGCCAACATTTCCTTTCGAGACTGCTAACAAAGAAAAAACATATCAGGAGGGTTCTGTTCATAATCAACTGAAATCGTTGATTCACATATCAATACTGTTAGATCACACTCCAAAGAATATCATATCAGATGTAAGATTCCTAATTTCAAGGAAATTACCAAAACAACAAAATAAATGTGATGGGAAAAAACACAAAAGATATTGAAGTGGTGGAGCAGTTCCACATACAAATAATCAGTTGTGAGAGAAACAAATTGAATATGTGAAGTAAAGAGGCGGTGGAGTCGGTGGATGGATTAACCCTCATATTAACATAACAAATTACTTCCAATTATCAATTACTATCACCGCAAAGTATTCCAACAAATTATAGAACTGTGAAAAAAGTCAAAAACGACGGAGGGGGAGGGGAATCGATTTTCTAACCTGAAACTGAAACGAAGGCGTCGAATGTTCTCCAATCGAAGATGGAAGCTTCAATCCATGTAGAAAAGGAGAAGGTTTGTCGTCGATGTCACCAGCTCTTCAGTAGCATCTTTCGTTGCTACTCGATCAGACGATCTTTGGCGGGAGAGCAAGGCGATGGACTGAAAGAAGAAGAGGGAACATCGGTGAGATTTTAAGAGGTTCTGATGATATTGGATTTTTGTGGATTCAAGGTTCGTCTGAGTGGAAGAAGCGGTGGTAGTTGAGGCGGTGGACTAACCCAGGTTGACTTAGTAAGCTCCGAGTAGATCCGATGAGCAGACACCGAATCGGTTCTTTGAAGTAAAACACAGCTCTCTGAAGCGCTTTTCTGGTGGGTGAACGCAGATCTCTGAAGCGCTTCGCGGCGGCACCGGCGACTGCACTGGCGGCGAACACGACAGCTTCTTTAGGCATCGCGATCCCCTCGATGTCGAGTTGCTCGCCACTAATAATCAGTCTACGCAAAAACAACAGGGGCGAAAAAGCGATGGGAGGTTTGTGGAAGAAAAGAGAGATAACGTTGACCAAAGATATTTTGAGGCGGTGGGAAGGATGCGGAAGCAGATAAACCAAACGATGATCAACACGTGAACACAAGAAAGTAAATATTTTCATAAAACACCCAGATAAAAAAAACAGAAATAACATATCCAAGGGTCATTCTTACCAAATCACTATTCCTAAAAACTATCCTCCTTTAATAAATATATATATATATATATATATATATATATATATATATATATATAAAAGAATTCACTCGGCTTTTGATTTTGAATCGTTTATGGATTATTTACATAAATTAGAAGCATTTTGTTATTACTTAATTAGGATTATCGTCATATTAATACAAGTTATATTAATATTTTTTTTTATCAAGGATAAGTTAAATTAAATTAATTTTATCAAGGATAATTTAGTAACTTAATATTTTGTCCATGTCTATATATTCTAGTTTCGACAAACGTCATTAAAATAATTTGTGTCCACTCCAATGTAATCGGGTCTTCTTTTACCCGGTCTTTTTATACCAAATGTTACCTTATAATTTCAAGTTTGGTTTTACAAGTCCGGTGCAATCCACTTCTATCGAGTCTAATTTTACTCTATCTTTATCAATGTTTTAAAACCCGGGTTGACCCGGCCGGTTCAACCGGTTGGACCGTGACCCGGGGTAGAAGACGGTTCAATTGAGACCGGTTTTTTGTAAAAATACGAACCGGATCGAACCGGCCGAGTTTCCTCTAAACCGCGGTTCAACCGCTTATGTCGAACCGGTTAAAACCGGATTGATCCGTTTTAATAGGGTTTGGATAGTTGAAAACAAGTAGTGAAGACCAAAACAACGAGTCGTTTGCGGTTTCTTCAATGTTTTGCAATGTTTTTAAATATTTAAACTTTGTGGACATTAAATTATTGGTTTTATATGTTTATGCGTTATGCATGAAAGTAAAAATATATAAAAATAGAGAAAGACTATAAATCGGATTGACCCGGCGGTTCAACCGGTTGAACCGGTTGACCCGTGAACCGGTCATCATACCGGGTCAACCAAAAACCCGGGTTTTAAAACATTGATCTTTATACCGAACGCTACCTTATAATCATTTCCATTTAAAATAATTTAACCGTTTTCATCTCAAAACTAAAATATATGACGGAAAGAAATATTCATTTCCGTTTTGTATATCTTCTCTTGACCAACACTTCACGATCAATTATTTAGTACAAGTCTATTATGATATTAGTTTTAAAGCTAAATTATAGATGTAACCCCTATAAAAATAAAAAAAAACTTTCACTCGAATGTCCATAATCCATATTGCTGAGGTTTCTTTCAATTACTTTTACTTCTGATGTAGCGACTACGACCCTCAAGAGATTCCTATGGCGAAAAAAAAATGTTTCCCGGTACACTTGTTTCTTACAAGTTTTTTTTGAATGATTTGAAGGTGGGTTTTTGTCATCTTTAATTTAATTAACTTACAAGTTGGTTTGACTCCACTTGTTTCATGACTAGTTCTTATCATCATTAAACTTCCGTTATTTTCAAACTCTTCATCAAACATCTTCTTACCTTTTAAACCTGCACTGTTATCATAAACCGAAACATTAGGTCTTGGTTCGAATTCCTCATTGGAGGACTTTCTTTGGTTGCAGTGACTTCTCTTTGTGGGATCCAGTGACGCCAAAGAACCTCCTCCAACATGCGAGTTTTCCAAAAGTTCTTCAGGATTTGGCCTACCATAGACATTGCACATGATCTGCCGAAACAATATCGATAATATTATTGGTAGAATAACAGCATATATATATATATATATATATATATATATATATATATATATATATATATATATATATTGTCATTGTATTGTCGCACCATAGATTTATAACATTAGACAACAAAAATTTTTGTACCGTGACGAAAAAAAAGAGGGCCAAGAAAGAAAGATATGACGCCATGTTCCTAGTACAAGTTTCGTTCGTGCTTTTTGCATTTGCAATGAAGGATAGTTGGTATTTATAGCTTCATTGAGATGAGAAGGCGTATCATGAATTGTCGTCCTTTTTAATATAATATTAGGTGGGGTATCTTATGTTGCACTTCTTTCATCAAAATTGAAATATTAACAAAATAAATTTACATAAAAGTAGTTTAGTTACAAATTAATAATATCAAAACAATAAATAAGCAGTTTTAAATATATAATTTATGTTATGCATTGCAAGTTTGTACCTTTATTTCCAATCATCTTTGATCTCTTTTATAATCACTAAAAACATCTTTGATCTCTTTTAGAAATGCTAAATTTTCCTACTTCTATAATCAATAAAGACAAAATTAATAATGCAAGATTATAAGTTTAAACTAATAAAATATGAAGTAAAGTGCCTTCATCAATTTCTTTTATTCGGACCACCAATTCTTTGTATTTCTATTCCGCCCTAACCAGTAATACATCCACCTTGGTTATCACTTCTTTATCATTCGTTTCATTTTGAGAGACATCATAGCACTGACCCGTATAGAACTGTAAACCTAAAGAAAAAAATTCAAATCAATATATTGATTAACTGATAAAGAAATTAAATCACAATATCTGGATATCTAGAAAAAACAAAAATCAATTTACAAATAGACATGATTTACCTTGTGAAGTGAAAGTCTGGCAGATAAAATCAGGAAATCTGGAGGAGGAAATCCGATATCAAGATATCTCTACGAATAAAAAAACAACAAAAAATTTTTTAAAAAAATGGCATATATTTACACCTGCAGAATCAACCAAACGAATTATAATTTCTTTAATTCAAGTGAAAGATTAATTTTACAAAAAAAGAACCAACTGCATAACACTAACACCATAAAACATGGCTATTCTTTCTTATGGCCTTTCAAAGAATTGAATGTTGTGGAAAAAGAAAGAATTGATGACACTATTAATCAACTTGTATCCACTAAACCAAAGTCAACCAATTTAATCTATGACTACAAAAGAATGTTTTAAATAATAAAATTCACAAACCCCAAATGTGACATTCGGTTTTCCAGGTATATTATCCTTAATATTTAATTAAACATTTTTGGAGGGACTCGACATGTTGGTGCCTCAACTCGTCGAGTGTGATCGTGATTTGGTGACGTGTTTAATGAATGGACTCGACGAGTCGGGTATCTGACTCGTCGAGTCAGTGTTGTTGAGGAAAACCCTAATTGCCCGGGTTTGTGACCTATTTAAAGGCTCTAATGGCCTTCATTTGCGGCCACATTTCCCTTGAGAGACCCCAAATCAATCCAGAGAGCTTAGAGTCAAAGAGGGAGCCATTTTCATCATCATGGTGCATTCTTGCAAGGAAGGAGAAGATTATGCAAGCTAAATCAACTAGAGGAGCTTAGATCTACTTCATTGCCATTCCCGACTACTGTTTAAGGTATGAATCTATACCTATTTTCATATGATTAGTAGATCTCATGAAATTAGGGTTTCTTTACCCTCTTTTAGTTGAAGATATTGAGTATAAGAGGTCCCCTTGAGGCTTAGACTTCAGATTTGGACCTTAAGAGGTCCAAAGAATCCCATGATTCAAGCTTTATGCAGTCACATAAGAGTATTGAGCCTAAAACACCATTTTGAGGGTTTTTTTTACAAATAAACCTAGATGGGCGATGCATGGATGTAAAGATCGAACCTTTATGTGCTTATTGGATGTTAGGAGGTTGGATCTATAAGTTAGAGCCTCGGATCTGACCTCAAATGGCTGAATGAGGATTTGATGGGATGGACTCGCCGATTTTGTTGGATGACTTGACGAGTCGTAGCAGGTTTGTCCCGATATCTTTGACCTAGTATGAACTCGTTGAGTTTAGCGGCAACTCAACGGGCTGAGTGGACTCTAAGATGGAACTCGAAGAAATGTGACTCGACTCGGCGAGTCAGGTTGGCCTGGATAGTATAAATTAAGCAGACTTCGGTTACCTTATGGGATGGGTCAATAAGGGGCATATAAGACCATGGAGTGGTAAAATGGTCTTTTACCCAATTCCAAGAGAAAGAAGGAGAACAAAATGGCTTTAGGAGTAAAAAGGATAAAAGGATGGATAATGATTAAGATGCTTGTCTATTATGATAGGTTGAGGCTAGTTTAGGATTCCGAGATCTTGTCTTTTATCTTCTAGTTATGAGGTGAGTCTTCTCACTATACTTTACCTGGAATGGTAACTATGTGTGACCGGAAGGTCTTATGTGCTTGTATGAGTTATATGATTTGATATGATATATATATATATGCTGTATGAGTTGGACCAGAAGGTCAAGCACGGTTGGACCGGAAGGTCAACAGGATTACGACCGAAAGGTCAGTATGGTAGGACTGGAAGGTCTACCAGGATTATGGGATCGGAAGATCCCACTGAGAGACAGTGACCGGAAGGTCTTGTCGCCTAAGGTGGCTAGTATGTGTATGTGGTATTTTGGGGAACTCACTACACATTTATGCTTACCATGTTATATATTATGTGTTTCAGGTACTTCTGAGGATCGCTGGAAGGCTCCGATATGATTGTACACCTACATAGAGATAGAATGGTGGTCCTAGATTGATAAATCGTTTTGAAAACTTATTGATTGATTTTGGAGAATTAATGTTATGACATTTGTTTTTATGAAATTAAAAGTGAAAATTTGGAGTCTTGGTTTAAGGGATTCGGATACACCTTCGGGCATATCTGAACTGAAACTGAGGATTTGAGAAAAGTTTTCAAAAAGAAACATTTTTTTCTAAAAACAATAAAAGATTCCAGAAAGAGTGGAAAAGAGTAGTGTGTACAATCAGCCAGCGCCCGAACTATGATTTCCCAAAATACCCTTACTTTATGTGTTATGAGATAATATAATATATGATATGCATGCTAGAGAGTAGATATCATAACAAATTAGACAAAGAAAATGACGTAAGTCGGTGCATAGAATGCACACTACTAGAAAAACAACTTTTTACGACGTGCAAATAATAACAATATTAACACACACTGATAGAGGTAGCACATTTGTGCATGCCCTAAAAATTAATGTCAGTTTTCCAAAATTTGAAAGATAGAGGACACGCATTTGCGCGTGCCCTAAAAATAGTGTCAAACAAAACAAAATTAAAAACATGCAGGGCACTTATTTCAAGTGTGTGTCGTCTACAAATGTCGCTTTATATTTTTTTAACTAAACGCACGTTTTTAAAGAGGGATCTAAAATTCTAAAATTTGAATACCCCGCGTCTCACTCTCTCCTCTGGTTCGCCTTATCTCTTGTAAAATCGCACAGAGTCATTCTCTCCCTCCTCTCTCTCTCTCTCTCTAACCCTAGACACAAACATTGGGCATTCACGATGATGTATTCTCCGCTATCTTCTTCTTGCTCCATTTAATAAAATCGGCGACCAAATAATCAGGCTCACTTCTTATTTTGCTTCTCTGTCTCCCACAAAAACCCCAGTTTCTATCACCACTTCTTGGATTAGTGAATTAGGGTTAGGGTATGGAGTGATTTAAAGAAAAGATGGGATTGGGTAGTCTTTTTCCTCGTACAGCTGGGCTACCGATAAAAATGTGTGTAGGGCTTCGGAGGAAGCAGGCATGTAGAAAATAGGTAAGTTAACGTGTGAGCTTGTGTGACGAACCATCATACAAGAAGTTAATTGAATTAGTAATTTAATTAACTAATTAAGTTTCTTACCAAACCTAAATCTATAAACTAGTAAACTCATTAATTTAACCAACTGGAAACTGTTTGAATTGATTTGTTTTTGTCACACCCCCAAACCAGAACGGCGGAAACGTTCGAGGGCGGAGGACGTCATATTCAGTATCATAACAGTTCATAGTAAGGAAAGTACACACCACCATATATATAAAAGTTTCAAAATATTTACATAATTGTATTTGTTACATGTTCAAAAGATAAATAAATAAACATCTTTCAAAAGAAGTAATTAACGTCAGAGCGTTAATCCCCAAAAATTGGTTTCCAAACCTGCTTAGCGGTTACAATTAAGTTGGTGAGTTCATAAGTGGTTTTGTGAAATGTATGCCATTCCAAAGTTCGTGCGTTTTACAAGAAAATCCCTTATTTTCATATAAAAGTATGAAATGCATATGAATGTTCGTGTTGTGAATTGTAAATAGTTGCACTAGGAAAATCCCTTATTTTCCTATTAGTTGATTTTTTTAGGTACGGGAAAATCCCTTATTTTCCTAAAGTAACAAGCAGTCTCTAAGACCGAAAATCACAAGCGACTGACATGCTTAAAGGTTGAGGCATAGTTTTATATAATAAAGCTATAAGAAGTTCGCACTTGTTAGATGAAGAATAGTTTTAGTAGCTACTCGTTCATAAAATCAGAATACCATAATAATTGTCTATCCAGTGAGTTTTATAACCATACTAAAGATAATATGCATGTGGCGACGGTCTTCAGGCGTCGAAACGTTTATGACAAACTGTCACCCAAAGGACTGTAGCTAACAGTCAGGGCGCGGGATCATGACTTCCCGTATAGATCTATACACATTTGACATGCTCGCCCAAACAGGAGACTCTGGTTATAATAGACAGGACTTTAAGTTGTACCTTTTCGCAAAAAGGTAGCATTGAAGATGTAAATGTCTCACGGGTTCTCAACTAAGTCTGTATTAAGGTGATAGTTTTGTATACAATGTTTCTTCTCTCTTAAAATGTTTAACTAAGCATAAATCTTAAGTCCTTTGAATGCATAAAATGGTTTAACAAGGATGGCTACCCTGAATACTATGCATTTTGTATAAACCTAGTACATGCAAGATATAACGAGAGTTTTCACGTTTTCACTCGGGATTAACCGGGTTTTTACTTGTATTCTCCCCTGAAATATATTAAAAGTACATTATAAAGTATTTGAAGGTGTATAAAAGGGAGGTATGAACTCACTTGATT